CGGCCAATTTTTGAAATATCCCAGAATCGACTTTGAACAGTTCCGGGGTCGATTTTGAAACATTCCAGAGTCCATTTTGAAAAATGTCGGATTTCAGAATTCTGCAGTTGTCCTGCGCGGAGGGCGCATTCCACCCCTCAGAACTGTCTTTTGTTGAAGATTCCTGGACTCCTTTATGAAAAATTCAGGAACCGCTTGCGCCAACGAGAAGAAAAACGTGAACGTTGTTTGACACATTATACAATCCAGAAATAATTGCTGGGCGGTCCGACGGGCTCGGCTGGCTCATTCACGCGCAGCGCCGCGCGCGATTGGGCGCAGCGCGCACCGCGCCCTGCGCCCGCGAACAGCACTTGAAGGGTTTACCTCGAAAATCGCGGCACGGCAGCTGCGACTCGCGGACTCCCCAAAAGCAGAACGGAATGCAGCTTCGAATCTCCGAGTGCGCTCCGATGCGCGAAAAATGCATCGCGCACAGCACGCAAAGAACCTGCGCGACGGAATGCGCTCGACCACTCGTCCCTGGAGCCCGCGCGGAACAGGAAAACCTGGAAATCCCGAAAACTATCAATATCAACACTTCATGCTCCTCTGACTGAGGCAGACAGCCGCCTGTCAGTCTACAGACGGCGTCGGAGTGCAGGGTCGGACGATGTCGTCGTCGTCGTCGTCGTCGTCGTCGTCGTCGTCGTCGTCGTCGTGGCACATCGGGCCCCTGCGCTGGTTGAGTGCGTCTCTCCAGGGCAGGCGTCGGGGATGGGCATCGTCCGCTCCTGTGGTGAGGCGTCGGGAGAGGGCGTGCGTGACCTTCCCGCCCGTGGCGCAGTGGTTGGCGCCGAGGGTGACGTCAAGACAGGAAGAGAGGGCATAGAAGCCGTATGCCAGAATCGGCCGCGTGGTCCCGGGCAGGGCACCTAGTGCTCGCGCGCGTAGCTTGAGGCACTGATCCGCTGTCAGGTCGGCACAATGAGAGGCGGGTCGAAGGTCGGCAACCGACGTGGGGTGGATCAGGTAGGCGGCGAGCGCCCAGACTGAGATGGCGCGACGGCCTTGTGAGAGCGGCGGCTGTCGGGGGCCGTGAGGGATCTTTGGCCAGGCGTACGGCGGAGCCGCCGTCGCTGGCAGGACGGCCTGGTGGTCTCCGCCTCCGCCTCCGCCTCCGCCTGCTCCGCCTCCTCGGCCTCCTCCGCCTCCTGCCTCCGCTCCTCCTTCTCCGCCCCTCCCCTCCTCCTCCTCCTCCCTCCTCCTCCTCCCCTCCCCCTCCTCCTCCCCCCCTCCTCCTCCTCCTCCTCCCCTCCTCCTCCTCCTCCTCCTCCTCCTCCTCCTCCTCCTCCTCCTCCCCTCCTCCTCCTCCTCCTCCTCCTCCTCCTCCTCCTCCCCTCCTCCTCCTCCTCCCCCCCCCCCCCCCCCTCTGACGGAAGCCGATGTTCCGGCATGCGCCACGCGGCTGCGCCTGGTGGAGTGCTACTCAGAGGGGCGCCAGGGGGGGCGGCAGCGAGGGCCGCGGCGCGTCGCGGGCCTCGTCGTTGCCATGGCGGCAGCGAGCGGGAGGGAGGAGCAGCACGTGACGGAGAGGGGCCAGCTCTCGGGTAGCGGAGGCCCGCCAGGCGAACCCCACGCATGAGAGACCCGAGTGGTGCGCCCAGGAGGAGGAGGGGGAGGAGCACGCCAGCCCCTTCGCGGGACGAAGTGCGGGGGAGGGCGTGCGTGACAGCGTGTGGCCTGGCAGTCGTGTGGGCCCCCCGTGGCCCTGCTGGGGGGCGCCCGCGGTGCACGTCGGCCACTCGGCGGGCAGGTGGCTCGGAACCACGGCGCGGTGGCGTCGGCACGTGGCGGCCTGGTCGTCGGGCGTGTTGGAGAAACCAGGAGGTACCGATACCGCTACTCCCCGGACCCCTCCCGGGGTACGTTCTGACCAGCATCTCGAGGCGAACCCAGCGGCGGCGACGAGGGCCTCCGAGGAGGCCCAGACAGGGGACAACGGGGAAACGGGTAGAGGTATGGGCACCTTTCCCAGACATGCGACGTCCTGATCTTTTTAACACGGCGTTCCTGGAAGACCCGACCCTTTCCCCGGGGCCGGTTTTTGTCCAGAGTCGTTTTTGTTGACGGTCCCGAGGCCCAGCGAGGGCCCCCTGGGGCCGAAAATAGCCGAACACCTCCCGTCCTGATTTTTTTACGACGCGATCATGTCTGGGTTTCCTCCTCTGACGTGTGCGTCGGTCGGTCGACGCTCGTGCGGCGGCCGTCGGCGGCGGGCGTCGTCGCGCTGCCGTCGGACGGTCATCGGGCAGCCCTCGGGCGGGCGGCGGACCGGCATAAACGTGGTGCGTCGGCGGGCGCCGGCGTGCCAATCGGCGGCGGGGCGCGGGAGGGATTCTCCTGAGGTCGAGCAAGTCCTCCTCCAACGCCTCCTCCTCCTCCTCCTCCTCCTCCTCCTCCTCCTCCTCCTCCTCCTCCTCCACAATTACACAATATGAAAATACTCTCCCACTTCCCCTGATGGCGTCCCGAAGATGGCCGACCCCCCCCCCGCGTATTGTTTTTTACACACCGGATTCCCGGGAAACGGGTTTTCGCCTGCGTTTTTTTATGCTGCTCTCGCTGAGGCGCCGGCCTCATTTCTGCTCCCGAATCGTTCCGAATCGTGCTCCCGCTGCAGCGTGGGCCTCATTTTCGGATCGGTGTTTGGCCTCCGTCGTTCAGGATGGCGTTCTCGCCCCAGCGCGGGCCTCTTTCTCGCGCGCCCATCCGCCCGCCACCACCACCACCACCACCACCACCACCACCACCACCACCACCACCACCACCACCACCACCACCACCACCACCACCACCACCACCACCACCAACACCAACACCAACACAACACAACACAACACCACCACCACCACCACCACCACCACCACCACCACCAACACCAGCAACCAGCACCAGCACCAGCACCACCACCACCAGCACCAGCACCACACCAGCACCACACACCACCAACACCACAACCACGCACACACGCACGCACGCACGCACGCACGCGCACCACCACCCACTACGCACGCGCGCGCGGAGCCACAGGTCCGCTACGACACGCGTCCGCGGATAGAGAAAATCAGCGCCATGGTAAGGGATGGGAGGGAGGGATAGGACGTCAGATATGACGCGAGCGCACCTAGCTTGTCCTCCCCCCTCCTCCACCTCCTCCTCCTCCTCCCTCCACCTCCTCCTCCTCCTCCTCCTCATCGTCCTCCTCCTCCTCCTTCTCCTCCCCCTCCACCTCCTCCTCCTCCTCCTTCTCCTCCCCCTCCACCTCCTTCTTCTCCCTCCTCCCTCCTGCAGGCGGATTGTGGGCGAAAAATGACAAGTACCCGAAGAATGCCCAACACATGCTTCAAAATAGGCACAACAATCGTCCCCTGACTATTTTTGAACCATCCTTGAATTTCCCCCCTGTGCAGGGACACGCCCGACTTACGCTTATCCCCGCTAGGGGGGCAGCTCTCAGGCTGGGCGTGCGCAAGTGGGCAATGCCGCTGTTGGGCAGCTGAGCCATCCAGTACCGGTTGTGTTCCCCCGTTCGGCCGACGAAGGTGCCGTGCGGTGGCCGTTGAGTGGGGTGCGCTCCTGGTTGGCAGCCGTTGCCACGGTTCCCTCGCGAACAGATGGAAGCGCAGGGGAAGAACGCGGCGAGTGTTGGCGGCCAGTCTGTCTGTCAGTCCCCTCGGCCAATGCGTTGGCCCTGGTGGGCCTTGCTGGTTCCGACGGGAGTGGGTGATGGTGCTGGCGTTGCCGCTGGTGGTTGAGCGGCGGTGTGTAGGAGTATGCCGTGGGGAGGGGGGACGTCGGTCTCCTCCTCCGCGTGCGGCGCACGGTGTACGCGAGCAGCGAGCCCGGTGGCTGGTGCGGGTGGCTTGGTGCGACCCTCGGCGCGGCGCAGCACGAACCGCAGGCGTGACGCTTGCAGCGGCGCCCAGGCGGCGAGCTAGAGGGTCACCGTGCGGATGTGGAAGCGGTCCACTCCTGAGGGAACGTGGTGCCGCTCGCCGGAGGTCCTCTCGGGGATGCTCGGCAGTGGATCCGGAGTGGTGCAGCAGGAGTCGGCAGGTCAGCTGTCGGTCAGCTGGCGTGCTCGCTTGGAGGGGGCTCGGAGGTTGCGTAGCAGCTGCAACGTGTGGCCGCAGAGGCAGAAGCGACCCGTGATGGCTGCGATCCGCCTTCTGGTCTGGTCCAGCCGGGGTGTGTCGTGGCGGCTGGTGCCACGTGGGGGCGAGCGGTGGTTCTGGCGGTCGGCGGGCCGTCGTCGGCGGTCGTCGCACGGTCGTCGTTGGGTAGCAGACGGCCGACATACGGCCAGCGTGTGGTCGTCATTCGGGTCGTTTGGCGATCGGCAGACGGTCGTCGGACGTCGTGGGGCCCGCTGGTATTCACCAGATCCTCGGCAACGATTGGGGAGCGATTGGCAACGACGTACGCGGGCCTGGTGGTCCCCGTGGCTGGTGCTGCAAAGCGGGCCTGGTGGCCTCCGTGGCCGGTGCTGCTGAATGTTGGCGGACGCTCAGACGGAGGGTCGTTACGGACTACGTCATGGGCGACATCACGGAAGTTGGCTGGAGTGTTGGCTTCTGGCAACGCTGAACGGTTCCAGCGCGTTTCTTCGGACGGCGGGAGGGTCGCAGTGAACCACGGCGGATGTATGCACCGGCTGCAGCATGGGCCTGGTGTCCCACGTGGCTGGCTCCCCTGAGAATCCGCGGGCGGTTGGAGTTGTGGTCGTCGATCGTCGTCGTCGTCAGAGGTCGGGCAATCGACGCTCGGTCGTCGGCGGCTGTTCTGTCGGTCGGCGGACGGTCGTCGGCAGACGTCGGACGGTACTGGGCGACAACACGGGGACTGCCTCGACTGTGGGCCTGGTGGCAACGCTGAGAGGTTCTAGTGGGGATCGGCGGACACTCGGCGGGAGGGTTAACCGCGGCGGATGGACTGGCTGGAGCCTGGGCCTGGCTGCC